ATTAATGCGTGACAGTTTCAAATGCTAAGTGAATCAATTAAACAGCAGCGTTCACCCATTTGAGGAGAGAAACGGGCTTCCAAACTGCCTCAGACTACAATTTTCACATGACACACAAAAAAAAAAAAGTGGGGTGGGGGGGGACCAATTCAAAAGCCTGACAGGTCAAAAAGAGAGAGAGAGAGAGAGAGAGAGAGAGAGAAGTTGGAAACAAAGGCATCTTATAACCATCATCTCTTCTCTTTCCTTGTCAGATCAAGTTTTCAAGTGTCTTTGCTGAAATGGCACCGCCATGCCAGCTGACACAAGGTGATTTTTCATCTCTTGTCAGAGAAAATCTTTTATTCTATTTGCTTGGCATTAACATGTTACATTTATTGATCCAGCCTTTTCTCCTGCCGCTGCAGGCCTCTGGGCTGGAGCCTTGAAGGGAGGGCTTTGATGCCCCAGTGACATTCCAGGCCCCGAACAATGCAAGGACTAAATGGATTTCATGCAGAAATGTGTTTGTGCATGACAGCTACATTATTAACAGCCTCTCACACTGATAAATATGCAATTGCGACTATTAAGATTTGCCCAATTACAAGGAAAATATTCCCGGGTACCTAATAAAAGCTACCACAATGAAAAGTTTTAACAATAGATGCGTTTTACACCCTGTTGAAGCCAAAGAAGATTCGTCGTGACGAATAGAAAAAGGATGACATGCTTTTATCTTAAATTTCTCCTTTGTTTCTCCCTCTCTGTTTTTTTTTTCTTTTTTTTACGGTTGGTGCTTCATCCTAAGGTGGACCGAAGGAATCTATTTTATTTTATTTTATTTTTCCAGCACAAAACAGGCTAAAAAAATTCCAAAGTGGTGAAAATGTTACGTACGAGTCAAGATTTGAAGGCGGACGACAGAGAGACACGATTGGCTCACGGAAAGATGTTTCATCCATATTGTCAAAATGCCAAATGACTTTATTTTATTTTATTTTATTTTCTATTTATCCATAATACGGCACACTCTATTTAGCTTTGTGATGGTGGAGATTGTGGCAACTAAAACCGGTCTGATGATCTCTCGGTGTCCCGATTTCAGAGCTGTTTCTTTAGGCTGCATATTTTAAATAGTTTGTCCTCATTTCATTTATTTATTTATTTATTTCCGTTTATTTCACAATACATATGATCATGAAGCATATAATGTATATGCGTGGGTGTGTAGGTCTGTGTGTATGATTGTGTGAAAGTGTGAACGTGCGCACGCCTGCATGTTTCACAGCTCAAAATAATTCCAGCCAAACTACAATATCATAGTATTAATTAATATTAAAAAGACAAAAGTCGATCATTTTCTTTTTCTGTTCTAGCAAACGTTTTGCAGCAAGCCGATTTCATCCACCATAGCCAGCAGGACTGAAAGACCTATTTTAGGGGTGCAATTTTAAAATCCACATTATTTGATCTGAAAATATATTTTTCCATGGAGAGGCTCTTTCAGAGGCCCCAAGCTTAAGCTGATGTAAAATAAATTTTCTTTTTTTATCACCAACATCCTCTTATCTCTTTCCATTTTAAAAAGAAACAAAGGAATCTCTTTTTAAAATACTTTGAGGCAGACTTTTAAATATCAATTTTTAATTCTTTGTTTTAACATTCTCTTTCCTTATTTTCTTAGGAACCAGCTTGGTGTCCCAGAGAAAAAGTGGCATAAAAATCCTATTAACAAATACAGGTACTATTTGACTTATGACCACTATTGGGATCCAAACATTTGTCGCTAAGCGAGGTGATTGTTAAATGAGCCACACCCAATTTTACAACAACTTTGCTTGTTGGAAGCCAGCTAATAAAGTCACATGTGGCGATCATGTGAACCTGGGATCACTGCAACTATCATAAATACATTCTGGTTGCCAAGTGCCCAAATTTTATCACACGAGTGTGGGAACACGGCAGCGGTCATAAATGCAAGGACCGATTGTAAGTCATTTTTTCCAGTGCTGCTGTAACTTTGAATGGTCACCAAATAAATGGACATAAGTCAAGGACCCCCTGTACCAAAGTAAAGGAAGATTTCCACATCACATCGCAACATGCTATCAAAAAGATCCATTCCCTTTTTTCAAAAAATGAACCGCTTTAAGTTACATACAAAAACTGTTGTTGGTGCTGGTTACATCTCTTCTGTAAAATATAAGCCCTGAGCAATACAAGGAAGAAGAAACTGAGTCTTTTAGGGGCCTGGCCTATTTTATCTTACAGCCTTAAAACGTGCCTGACTTCCCTTAAGTTGCATTTCTTCTCTTTTTAAAACTGTGTAACACAAAAGATACCCAAAGAACGTTATGCAAGCTACTAATCATATCCTATCTTTTTGCATGCCTCATATTCGGGCTAAATATAAAATGCATTTTAAATTGGGTCTATTTTCTTGCTGTTTTTAAGCAGGTCGAAGCAGTCGTGAATCCAATTCCATTCTGCTAAAAGCAAAAACCTGTTTTTTTTCTCTGAAAATAATCAAATGAGGAATGCAGATAGCTTCTGTCGGTAATGTCGTTTCGTTTTTCTTTTCACTTCAAGACTTCAAGGAACCCTAACAAATCTCTTAATTTGAGCAAGATCCCAATCATGCTTTATGCTACTTGAAAAAATTAAATTAAAAGCAAGAATAAGTTGAATGATCAAAAGAAAAAAAAGAAAGGTAATGACAAAAGACACTTGGTACATCCATCGTGGTTCAGATAGGCCAATAATACATAGAAGTTGTTTTAATTTGCAATAGAAATCAGAGGCCACCGTATCTCTTAGAAGTGTGACTAAGGAGCACATGGCCAACGAATACTATACAAAGTAATCTCAAGTAATCCACAGAAACGGTTGCCGGTTGTATAATTGTGTAATTCATATCCATAAAACACATAGGCAATTATAAGCGTTGCTTCTTATCTTCATGCACATCAAGATATCATTATTTCCTGCTGAAGCTCAGACCGAACAAGAATCTCATTCTCATTTGCAAATAATTTGACCAAAGCTTTGTTTGTAAATCATTTGCCAAGGAAAGAAGTCCAGAACCCCTCCCCAAAAAAGGTATGAGTTTTTAAGAGCTCAATCATACACTCCAACTCCTGCAGCATGGAGATACACACACACACACCAACCATTAAGCAAAAATCAAGAACACGGAGACGTAACCTCAAACTGACAGGAGGGAAGTTCAAAAGCCATGTTTAGAAAGGATGATTTCACAGAAAGTGGAAGCTTGGAACCAAATTCCGGTGGAAGTAGTGGGTCAATCATCAGCAACCGAGTTTAAACATGATTGGGATAAACACGTGTTCATCATCCGACAATTTAAAAAATAATAAAACAAAACAAATGAAGCATAAAAAGAATAATTAAAAACAATAAATAAATCAGTAAATAAATGCATAAATAAAAATGTTAAAAAATGAAACAAAACAAAAAGCAAGCTCAAAGATGAGCCACTAGGTCATTTTCTACCATCAGTTTTTTTTTTATGTTTCTATATTTCTAACAATTGGCAGATCTGTCCTCATTATATTGCCTAGGTCAACACCAGTCTATCATTCCAGGACATTCTGGCATGCCAGTGGTGTTTCCCCTTCTTTCCCAACACAAGACCCAGTTAGACATTCTAGGATACCTGGAGAGAAAGTCCAAGGAACCTTCAAAGATCAGCCATCTGCTGAATTCAATGATACCTGCCAGGTTTGCTAGATTAAGACCATCCACTCTCATCCAGATGCTCCATGGCCATGTTGACTGTGATTGTAGAGAAACCTTCCTGGTGTTTGGGAAGTTTAAACATGGGGATATCCATCTCATAGAAGACCAAACGCAGGTCTTCTAGGAGATCAACACATCCTGGGGCTACCACAAAATAAAAGTTCTGGAGAAGCCATGGGGGAACCTCCTTCCCCACACCATATACATGGCCATAGCTCTGCAGTGGCAGATCTGTTCCTGAGCTGGGAATCACATCATCCTACAAATATCAACCAAACGCTAAGCTTGCAGGTAGAACTTTTAAGCAACTCTTCTGTGAATTCTAGAGGGGAAAAGCCAACTCTTCCAGTAACAATTAAAGGAGAGAAGCCTCCTTATAAAGAACTGCTGTGTCCCCCTCCCCAGCTCAATTTTGGAAGAGAAGATGTCTGGAAAAGCAGATCACCTAATCCCCAGCCTCAGTTTAGACTTTAGAGGCTCTGGGACATGTGTGTGTGGGAGCTTCTGGTTTCCTTCTCGGAGTAGTCTGGGGGTGGGGGTGGGGTGCAATCTTAGTACTTAAGTGTTCTAAAGCAGGGGTCTCCAACCTTGGCAACTTTAAGACTTGTGGACTTCAACTCCCAGAATTGATTCTGGGAGTCAATTCAACTCCCAGAATTGACTCTTCAACTCTGGGAGTTGAAGTCCACAAGTCTTAAAGTTGCCAAGGTTGGAGACCCCTGTTCTTAAAGGTTGAAGATCTTGGTTTAAGCAGAGAAGTCAAATTCTACAAAGCTGATGAGGGTGAAACAGGGTGACAAATTCTGCTCAGAACAAAAATACTAAAAAGGGCATTATTTCCACAGTTGGGTGTATTCGTATTCAAGAAACTCTTTTCATTCCGAAAACAAGGAAATTGTGGGTTTTTTTTAAAGAAACAGATCTTTTTCTGAATCTTTTAAATCAATTTTTTTTCTCCGCTCCTAATATCCATTCTCATTTTGTTCTTCTTTTAGCAAAACCAGTTAACAAAGAAACCAGTTGCAAAAAAAACCTTATGCAACAAAAGCTAAGCTATAACCACTGCGTCAAGCAATCCATTGACTAATATTCTCCCATATGTAAAGAAGATATTAAATATATATAGCGTTCTGCAACAATGTCTATGAAATTAGATATACATGTGCAGAGTTAAGCATATATTGATGACATACAACAACAATAAAAAAAAAGAACAAGGAAGTTTTCCGCTAAAGTGTAGCTTAACACGTATGTCCTACCTTAATAAGTTGAAGCTGAGGTCCAGCCTTTTCGCAATGCTTCCATATTTTTTCCCAAGGAATTCTGGAATTTCTTTGCAATCCTGGCCAATGTAAGACACCTGTAAGGGTGAAGAGCAGGAGAGATTATGTAGTAAATCCGCATTTTGAAATTTGGAGGCACCTCCCCATTTTTAGCAATCCTCTTGTAAAGCAAATTGCTGTAAACCGAAATGAATGTTTGAAATAATAAATTGCTATCATCGGCTGCATTACTGTTTTATCAAGTTCCATCACTAGGCTGATTTGAAATTTTGTAATTTTAAAATTAAGATGTTAATTAAACAGACAGCATAATTCCAGGCATCCTTTTATCCTAGCAAGGTTTTATTGTTCAGTTTATTTCATGTGGGTCTCAAACAGTCTGAAATGGAAGAGAAACAAGATTGCATTTCTTAGGCTCATTTTACAGGAAACTATTCGTAGGGAATCATGCATTTCTGTGTAATACTTCACTAAGTCTACGCTGGCGTTACTGCAATAAGCCTTGTGTAACATAAGCCAATATGATCACATGAAGTGTTTGGGTTCATTTACCTAAGGCCGTATGATGAATTTAAGGTAGAGAGCCACGTTTTCATTTAGACCTTCCTAAATTAGGGAAGGAAGGAATATGTGCTGATATAAATATATATAATAACATTAGACCATGTAAGTTTGACCAATGTAGTCATTTTTACTTGTATTAATATTGGTTTTGTATCAAAATGAATGACACTCAGATGCCACACTGTCCATGCAAGGATATTGATGATATTGATGCAGTTCTGAAATCCAATTTTTTTTACTACCGGTTCTGTGGGCATGGCATGTTGGGCGTGGTGTGGCTTGGTTGGTGTGGCTTGGTGGGCATGGCAGGGGAAGGATATTGCAAAATCTCGATTCCCACCCAACTCTGGGGCCAGTCAGAAGTGGTATTTGCCAGTTCTCTGAACTGCTCAAAATTTCCGCTACCAGTTCTGCAGAATCTGTCAGAACTTGCTGGGTTTCACCCCTGTATTGATGCATGTTTTAAAAATAAAAAAACTTTACCCCCCCCCCAAAAATAAATTAGAGCCTACTATCTTCATCCCTATGATCTGAATCAGATAATATGGGTTCCGATTGCTCCCTCCTTCCTATGGTAGGAATCAGGAATAGCAATAGCAATAGCACTTATATACCGCTTTATAGTGCTTCACAGCCCTCTCTAAGCGAATTTACAGAGTCAGCATATTGCCCCCAACAATCTGGGTCCTCATTTTACCGACCTTGGAAGGATGGAAGGCTGAGTCAACCTTGAGCCTGGTGAGATTCGATCTGCCAAACTGCTGGCAGCCGGTGATCAGCAGAAGTAGCCTGCAGTACTGCACTCTAACCACTGCACCACCACGGAATAAGACAAGATGCTTTCCAACTTCTACAACAGTGAAACAGGGCCTCCATCCATAATGCCCATGTAAGGAACCAGCTGTCCCCAGGTGCTTTGGATTTGGGATTTAACCCTTGATACTTGTAATCTCCACATGCATGTAACCCAGGGACATACTACACAGGCAAGGAAACACTGCATTCTCCAATTTCTTCTACAAATACATCACATAGTAGAGTGATCATACTGTGGTATGAGACAAAAGCCTTTAAGGGGATACTAATTAGGGTCTTCATGAAAGGAATCATAGAAACACAAGGCTGGAAGGGAGCTTGGAAGTCTTTGAGTCTAATCCCCTGACCAAGGCAGGAGACCTTATATTATCCTGGTCAAATGGTTGTCTAGTCTATTCTTGAAAACCTCCAGTGATGGAATTCCTACAGCTTTGGAAGGCAAGCTGTTCCATTGATTGATCATTCTCACTGTCTGGAAATTTCTCCTTAGTTCCAAGTTGGGACTCTCTTTGGTGAGTTTCCATTCTTTCTTGTCCTGCCCTTTGATGCTTTGGACCAGAGGTCTCCAACTTTGGCAACTTTAAGACTTGTGGACTTCGAGAGTTCCTCAGCCAGCTGAGTAAACCCTTCAAAGGAGGATGCTTTGCACACTTTTTAAAGTCCTGTTTCAAATGTTTTGCACAATCCTGGTTAGTATCATATAATCATTTATAACTCCTCTGCTCACAACAGAATATCTTATGCCACCAGGCTTGAAATTTTGGGCTTAGACAATTTAGAACTACGCCGCCTTTAGTCTGACCTAAGCATAGTACACAAAATTATCTGCTACAAGGTCCTACCTGTCAGTGACTACTTCAGCTTCAACCGCAATAATACACAAGCGCACAATAGGTACAAACTTAAGGTAAACCGCTCCAAACTCGATTGCAGAAAATACGACTTCGGCAACAGAGTGGTCAATGCCTGGAATGCACTACCTGAGTCTGTGGTTACATCCCCAAACCCCCATAACTTTAACCTTAGACTGTCTACTGTTGACCTCACCCCACTCCTAAGAGGTCTGTAAGGGGGGTACATAAGTGCCCCAGCGTGCCTACCGTCCCTGTCCTACTGTCCCCATTTATTCGTATCCATTTCCTGAGTTCATATTCATGTTTATACAGTACTTATATCTGTTATCTCGTACGTTGGACAAACTAAATAAATAAAATAAATAAATAAATAAATCATCCAGTCGAAACTGGGTTATACTTCTTTCATTGTGATTTAAATGTTTACCAATGCACACATCATCACCACCACTATCATCATCATCATCATCATCATTCTAGCCATCACTTGCAGGATGAAGGTCTCTTCCTCATGTTTACAACCCATATGGTCCCAAGCTTTCTTTTGCCAATTGGGCCCACCATACTTGCTGATGTTGTCCATCCATCTTATTTTAGGTCTCTTTTATCCAGTAGGATCCATTCAGTGGGAGCCTTGGTCCACCTGCCATCAGATCTTCTTGCTTTGTGACCAGCCCATTTCCATTTCCATTCTTTTACTCTTTGGATGGCATCTCATATTTTCATTTGTTCTCTAATCCACGAGCAGGTCTTTCTATCTTGTCTTGTAATGCCAAGCATGAATCTTTCCACAGTTTGTGGCTTTTGTGTCAACTGTGAGGTGAGTGTCCATGTTTCCCCGGCATAGGTTAGAGCAGGTAACACACACCGATCGAAAACTTTTCTCTTCAGGCACAGGGTGAGGTTGTTCTTGAAAATTATGCTTAAAATTACGCACATATTGAAATGTGTGCAAGAAAACAAGCTCAGAGAGCACCAAGGACCTCATACAATAGTGGTTGAAAGTTTAGGGGAAAATACAGTATATCTTTGAAATCTCCCATAAAATTTGTCACAAACTTAATAAGTAGCTTAGGAAAGTTGATCCAATGTTTTATATTTTTTTAAAAAATCCACCGTGATATATTTTACATTTGCAAGAATAATGTTGATAGGTTCCTTACTGGTTGGAGTTGTTTTAACAGCCAAGTAATCATACATTCAGTACAGAGCTCTATTTTTTAAGGGCCTTATGAAGTTTCCATTTGTCTCTGAAGCTCCATTACTCCAAGTTCCAGATAAAAACAAGAGAACAAGAATCAGGCAAGTTGTGTTTGGATGATATTTCATGTTTTCCAACATGCAATCGACTGTCCGTGACAACTTGCCGATGCATCCTCTAACTTTACAAATTGTAGTTCAGCAGGTCTTAAAATGATTGCAGACCGATACTGTAGTATTTCATCGGCTTTAATCCATCCTTCTTCAGTAACTTTATCTGAGAAAGAGATCAGTGACTATAGAGAAATAGTTTTATGGTGAATACATGAGCCGGAAAAGAAAAAGGAAAAAAAACCCAGGGCTTCTTATTCTTATTTTATTCCTTCCTTTTTAACGCATCTACTATCTTTTTTCTTACAATCAATTCTACTTTAGAACAAAAAAAGCCCAGTTCTTACAATATCCAGAATTACAAGGAGGAAAGATTCTTTCAGCAGAGATCTGAATGTCATTACTTTGAATTCTGCTCCAGAATTTTTTTAAAAAGATCTTCCGGTCATCCGTCAATCCACACCAGTGGTGAGTTTCAAAATTTTTTACTACAGGTTCTGTGGATGTGGCTTGGTGGGCGTGGCATGGGAAGATACTGTAAAATCTCCATTCCCTCCCCACTCCAGGGGAAGGTTACTGCAAAATCCCCATTTCCTCCCAATCAGCTGGGACTCGGGAGGCAGAGAATAGATAGGGGCAGGGGCAGTCAGAATTTTTACTACCGGTTCTCCGAACTACTCAAAATTTCCGCTACCGGTTCTCTGGTCAGAACCTGCTGAAACCCACCTCTGACCCACACCGCTTGAATCTCTATAAGCTTTTTAAAACCGACATACAGCGCTGCAAACTTTTTCTTATTAGTCTAGAAGAGAAATATTGATGTCAACTTCTCTTAATGGACTAGCAGCAAAAGTTCATCCATGGCTCTTCACATTTATTTTATTTATTTTAATATTTATTTTATTTATTTCATTATTTATTTATTTTTATTTAAGTGTATATGTCCACCCCCATTCATTCTCAGCGATTCTGAGTGGCTTACAAAAATAAAAAACCCATACAGGTCCTTTTAGTGGAAGTTACTAAGTTACATCCAAAGTTACAACGGCACAGAAAATAAGTGACTTATGACCGTTTCTCTCACATTTACGACAATTCCAGCATCCGTGTGGTTGCATGATCAAAATTCAGACGCTTGACAACTGACTCGTATTTATGATGGGTTGCAGTGTCCCGGCGTCAGCTGATCACATTTTGCAACCTTCTGACGAGCAAAGTCAAGGGGAAAGCCAGATTCACTTAACAACCTCCGGATTTTTCATCGGGCCCTGAAAACCTATTTATTTCAACTAGCTGGGCTGGCTTGAGTTAATTTTAAATTGATTTTAAATTGGGTTATTTTAATTTACGGCCAATAATATTTAATTATTTTAAATTGCTTTTAAATTTTGTATGTATTGTTTTTTACTCTGGCTGTTCACCGCCCTGAGTCCTATTCTGGAGAAGGGCGGTATAGAAATTTAAATAATAAATAAATAAATAAACCGTGTTACTAACTTAAGAACGGCAGTGATTCACTTAACAACTGTGGC